TGACAGAACCGGGTTAGACCTGGGGTGTAGCCTTCAGAATCCTCTGCAGGCCCTTTTGAGCATCCGTCCCTACGTGGCTGCACCAGCTGACCACCTGGCCCCGCGCGGTCACCACTGGGTGAGTCTCCAAGGCGCATAGTCTTGTGAAAGGGAGATACATCCGTAACTTTGTATCAAGATGGAGAAGGCTGTAGGAGAAGGGACATGTCTCTTCTTCCCTTCCCTTTGGCCTCATCCCTAAACTGACAAGAGATGGATTAACAGGAGGAAAACGAACAGAAGCTGAATAACGTGTACACGTAGGGAGAGACCCAGGAAAACGAAGTCGCCGGAGTGGGCAAAACCATCACTTTTAGATACGTTCTCCAGCGAGAGACAACAGAAGATCTTGGGTGTCCGGGGTGGTGGGGGAGCCAGACGTGAGAGCAGGGCCCGAGAAGGGCAGGAGACAAGGGCAAGTTCGCTCTGCAGGTGACCCCTCGCCTTCTGCATTGACTGGAGTTTCCGGACATTGAGTCATTAACCTCTCTTCTTGGTAGGGCAAGGGAGATACCCTGACAGATAGAAATGTCTTCTTAAAAAATGTTTACTTATTTACTTATGGCTATGCTGGGTCTCTGTTGTGGTTGCGGGCTTTTAGTGGGGGTTACTCTCTAGTTGCGGCGTGGGGCACAGGCTCTCGGCCTCCTGGGCTCTAGATCACAGGCTCGGTAGGTGTGGCACGCCAGGTTAGTTGCCCTGAGGCGTGTGAGATCTTCCCAGACTAGAGCTCGAACCCGTGTCCCCTGCACTGGCGAGCGGACTCTTCACCCCTGGACCACCAGGGAAGTCCTGAATGTCTTTCATTTAAGGGTAACTTCTACTTGGCTTTCAGTGCTTCTTCTGTGCCTGTGATTTCTTAAAAATAAGCAGGTTAAAATGATCCTTCGGCCAGAGAGGTGTGTTTTGGGGCAAATTCTGCTCCCCTGCAAGACCAAGAGCAGGTCGTTTTCTATGAGCAGGTGGGATGGGGCAGGGGCGATGGGCTGCTCTGCGTGTGCGGTGGGGAGAACCCGGGTCGGGGCGAGGATGCCGGCAGAAAGAGGCCGAGGAGCACACCTTGGGCGGGTGTGGGCCAGAGCCCAAGGCGCTGGGCAGTTAGTTGGTGCCCCTGGGGGGCAGGAAGGGACATTCCCGCCGAAGTCTGCAGTTAGGAGGGTGGTGGACCAGAGCAGAGGGAGGAAAGGTCAGCGGGTCCGAGGCATTAGGGCCCCTCTCTCGGGCAGGGAGGGGCTCCTCGTGTAGGTCAGATCTCCCCGGACTCCCACTTAGGGAGGTGGGTGTGGCAGCTCTGTGGTGCACCTCCCCGCAGGTTTCGGGGAGGAGGTGGCGCTTGGCAGGGCCCTGGGGTTATGCCATGTGCCCGGCGCCCTGGCCTGTGGGCTGGTGTGTGGGGAAGAGGCCCAGGAAAGTCAGGAAGTGGGTCGCTTGCCCAGGGTGGGGTCTTTTAAAGTGCCAGTTCATCTCTGAGCCCAGTGAGGCCTGAACAGAAAAGGCAAGGGTCACACAAGGTTCCCACAGCCCTCCCGGTTGCAGCTCTGAGCCGACTGCTAGTGATTCCAACAGCGGAATCGACCTGTGGCTGGGACCCTCCTGAGCTAAACAGGCCCCTTGAGATGCCCTCCTTGCCCTACTGGGAGGGCACAGAGCCTCTCCCCCAGCCCCCACCTCCGTGCGACCTGAGGGTCAGATTGTTCAGGCAAGGAAGGCACGAGGAGGAACAGCCTTCCCTCTGGACTTGGAGCTGGTGGGACCCCTGGGAGAGTGTACCCACCTACCTACTTATCTCTGTCTAGCTGTCTGTTTACAGATCTATCTAGTCACCATCTCTATATCTCTGGCATCTATCATCTATCTACCATCTATTATCTACCTACCTATGTACCTGTGTATCTGTCTATCTAGTCATCATCACTGTATCTCTCCATCCATTCATCCATCATCCTGAGGTTCAAAGGACTTTTCAGAGCTCTTCTCTCTCCTGTTCTGATGGACTTACTTTCCATTTGAATGGAAGCATGTTCTCCATCTGCAGAGACTAGACAGAGCTCTCTATGCCTAGGTTGCAAAGAGGCATAGTCTACAGCAGGCTCCTTAATCTGTTGTTGTTCAGTCGCTCAGTTGTGTCCGACTCTTTGTGACCCCATGAACCATAGTCTGCCAGGCTCCTCTGTCCATGGGATTCTCCAGGCAAGAATACTGGAGTGGGTTGCCACTTCCTCCTCCAAGGGATCTGGAAGGCCCAGAGATCAAACCCAGGTCTCCTGCATTTGGCAAGGGGATTCTTTACCACTGAGCCACCAGGGAAGCCCCAGGCTCCATAGCCAGGACCAAATTAGCAAAGGAGGAGACAGCTGTGTCGTGACTCAAATAAGATTTGGGGCTCATGGAGCTGGTGCCCTTCAGCCAGCCCATGACCGAGTTCAGCGCCTCCGCCTGGGTCTCTGGTTCTGCGAGCTACTTCTATTGTGGCCCTTGGGCAAACCACACACCCTCTGCACACCTATGGACCACGTGGACAGTCACCCCGGCTCACTGGCTGCCCAGAGAACGCTGCTCCCCTTGTCTCAGCGTGGAAATTAAACGTTAAAGGATGATCAGAATGCAGATGACAGAAATGGAGGTGTGAAGAGCAAAGGCAGGTGGGGGAAATGGACTGGAAAAAAAGGGGAAAACACACATTTTTGGACAGACATCCCAATAGAAAAAGGGACGAAATACACAGGTACTTCATAAAGAAAAAATATAAATGGCCAATAAACCAGAGAGAAGGTGCTTGCTGTCAGTGGTTATTAGGCAAATGACAGCCGAAACCACAAGAAAATACCCCTGCACACCCACCAGAATGGCTCCCCTGAAAAAGACTGACCGTGCCTAGTGCTGGCAGGGTTGAGGTACCATGGGAATCTCAAACACAGTCAGACCATGAAGAGCGGCTCTTTGCAAACTGTTTGCCAGGACCCACCGCAACCAACCGTGCGAATCTGTGACCCATCAGCCCCACTCCTAGCTCTGTACCAGAGATGTGCTTAGTCGCTCGGTCATGTCTGACTCTCAGCGACACCATGGACTGCAGCACACAAGGCCACCCTGTCCATTACCAACTCCTGGAGCTTGCTCAAACTCACGTCCATTGAGTCAGTGATGCCATCCAACCATCTCACCCTTTGTTGTCCCCTTCTCCTGCCTTCAATATTTCCCAGCAGCAGGGTCTTTTTCAATGAGTCATTTCTTCACATCAGGTGGCCAAACAATTGGAGTTTCAGCTTTAGCATCAGTCCTTCCAATGAATATTCAGGACTGATTTCCTTTAGGATTGATTGGTTGGATCTCCTTGCAGTTCAAGGGACTCTCAAGAGTTTTCTCCAACACCACAGATCAAAAGCATCAATTCTTCGGTGCTCAGCTTTCTCTATAGTCCAAATCTCACATGACTACTGGAAGAACCATAGCTTTGACTGGACGGATCTTTGTTGGCAAAGTAATGTCTCTGCTTTTTAATATGCTGTCTAGGTTGGTCATAGTTTTTCTTCCAAGGAGCAAGTGTGTTTTAATTTCATGGCTGCAGTCACCATCTTCAATGATTTTGGAACCCAAGAAAATAGTCTGTCACCATTTCCATTGTTTCCCCATCTATTTGCCTTGAAGTGATGGGACCAGATGCCATGATCTCAGTTTTCTGAATGTTGAGTTTTAAACCAGCTTTTTCACTCTCCTCTTTCACTTTCATCAAGAGGCTTTTTAGTTCTTCTTCACTTTTTGCCATAAGGGTGGTGTCATCTGCATATCTGAGGTTATTGATATTTCTCCCGACAATTTTGATTCCAGCTTGCGCTTCATCCAGCCTGGCATCTTGCATGATGTACTCTGCATATAAGTTAAATAAGCAGAGTGACGATATACAGCCTTGATGTACTCCTTTCCCAATTTGGAAGCAGTCTGTTGTTCCATGTCCTGTTCTAACTGTTGCTTCCTGACCTGCACACAGATTCCTCAGGAGGCAGGTAAGGTGGTTTGGTAGTCCATGGTATACACAGCATATGATCTCATTAAAGCTCAGAGGCAGGCATGCTGAGTTGTGACTTTTTAAAACTAGTATTATTGGAGGACAATTGCCTTACAGTGTTGTGTTAGTTTCTGCTATACAACAAAGTGAGTCATCTGTGTGTACACGTATGGCCCCTCCCTCCTGAGCAGCCCTCCTTGGTCCCGCATCCCACCTGTCCAGGTCTCAGTTATGATTTTATGTTTTTAAGCATTTATGATTTTATTTATTATGATTTTATGGTTTTTTTTATGTGGACCACTTAAAAAGTCTTTATTGAATCTGCTATAATATTGCTTCTGTTTTATTTTCTTTTGTTTTTTTTTGGCCCGAAGTCATGCAGAAACCTAGCTCCCCAAGGGAGGAATTGAACCTGCACCCCATGAATTAGAAGGCAAAATAGTAACCACTGGACCAACAGGGAAGTCCCTGAGTTGTGATTTTAGAAGTTAGGGTATTGATTAACCTCGAGTGGAGGTAGAGGTTGGGGTGGGCAATGGCGAGCTTCTGGGGGTGCTGGTGAGGTGCTTTCCTAAACTGAGTGCTGATCACACAGATGTGTTCATTTTGTAAAATTTTTAATTCATGGGCATGAGGTTTCAGCAGATTGTGAAGTGTAGCTATATTAGGGGTGAGGGCTTCCCCGGTGGCTCAGTGGTAAAGACTCCACCTGCAATGCAGGACACACGAGTCTGTCCTTGAGTTGGGAGGATCCCCTGGAGGAGGAAATAGCAACCCACTCCAGTAGTCTTTCCTGGAAAATCCCACGGACAGAGGAGCCTGGTGGGTTACAGTCCACAGGGTCACAAGAGAGTTGGCCACGACTGAGCAGAACAACAGCAAGACACATTAGAGGTGCAACCCTGAGCTACAACACCACATCCAATTTTCTTGTCTTCCCAAGGACCTCTCTGACATGGCTTCAAGCACGGCTGACCTAAGCAGCCTCGTCCAGCACACCAACTCCTGCCTTCCCCACCACCCGCCCCGGGTGGCCAGCGTGATGCTCTCTCTGTTCTACACGGCCCTGTTGATCTTTGCTGTCCTGGGAAACGTCCTGGCCCTTCGCCTGGCCCATCAAAAGGACGAAAAGATCAACTCGACAGGTGTTTTCCTGGTCCACCTGGCAGTGTCCGACCTCCTGTTCACCCTGACCCTGCCCGGAAAGATCACCTACTTCCTGCTGAACTTCAGCTGGCCTTTCGGGGAGGGGCTCTGCAGGCTGACGGCCTTCATCTTCTTTGTGAACACCTACTCGGGCATCTACCTGATGACGTGCGTGAGCGTGGACCGCTACTTGGCGGTGGTCCACGCCCACCAGTGTCCCCGGCTGCGTGAGCCCACGAGGGCCCAGCTCATCTGCGCGGCTGTGTGGGTCCTGGCGATGCTGCAGACGGCGCCCCTGCTTGGGTTCACCATGACCACACGTGTGGCCGGCAGGCTCACCTGCATGGAGTACGACAGCGTCCAGGGGGTGTTCACGCTGCCCGTCATGGTCCTGGTGACCTCCGCGCTGAGCTTCTGCGGCCCGGTGGCCGTCATCCTCTTCTGCTACGTGAAGATCACCGTCAAGCTGTGCCAGACGGCCCGGGACAACCCCCTGACTGGCCGGAGGGGCCACCACCGCAGGGCCCGCCTGCTCACGCTGGCAGTGCTGGCGGCCGTGGTCGTCTGCTGCACCCCCTACCACCTCCACGTCATCCAGTTCATGGTGACCAAGATGCTCCGCCAGCCCACCTGCCCCGAGCAGCGGGTTTTCAAATTGTGCCTGCAGCTCACCGTCTGCCTCATGAACTTGAACTGCAGCATCGACCCCGTCGTTTACTTCTTCGCGTCCTCACGTTACAGGAAATGGCTCCGCCGCCTTCTGAAACTCAAAGCATCACCATCCTCTCCCTCCTCCCCGCCGGGAAAAGCTTCCTCAGAAACACAAAGTATCAACCAGACGGGAGTCTCCTTGCCCTTGGAGGAGAATGAAGTCTAAGAGGTGATGGGCTTTCATACTGCACCTGGGCTTCAGGGGGGAGGAACCCAAGGTTGTACAATTTGGGGATTGGGTTCTTTAAGAAAAAGAATACAAAACCATAGATGCAAAGCTAGGTACAAGGTCGTGGAAGGTGAGTGAGGAGCTCTGAAGCGTGCATTCATTAGCTTTGCTGTAAACCTACTTCTGGGGCTTTCCTGGTGGCTCAGCTGGTAAAGAATCTGCCTGCAATGCGGCAGACCTGTGTTGGATCCCTGGGTTGGGAAGACCCCCTGGAGAAGGGAAAGGCTACCCACTCCAGTATCCTTGCCTGGAGAAGTCCATGGACAGAGGAGCCTGGTGGGCTATAGTCCATGTGGTTGCAAATAGCTGGACTTGACCGAAGTGACTTAGCACGCAGCGTGCATCTCTCATGTATTCTAATAAACACCGCTTCATCCTTGGCCTCTGAAGGGTGTGCAGTTTCTTTTGGGAAAAGAGTATTTTCACATCAAATGCAGTCATGACCAGAAGAATCATTGGCTGAGAACTAGAGTCACAGTTTGGACAATGTTTCTGATTTGGGGAGGCAAATTGTTGTAAAGAGCAAAGAAATACCCCTCTCCGCAAAAGCCAAAATCTCCAAACCTTTGGAAAAATGCCAAGGTTTTCCTGAGAAAGTGAGAGAACGAGAGGAAGACGCCCTTCAAGTTATTGGCCTGGCGGCCTCTGGGGTGGGGGAATGGGGTGAGGGACTGGGTGATCACTTTTGCAGGAAAAGTCTGATCTGGGGCAAGGGGTACACATTCCCGTATCACGTGTGTGAGCGGGAACAGTCTGGGGGAAGGAAGAAAGACAAGAACGTGGGCATGAGCATTCATTTTTCAGTTACGCGTGTCAGAAAGTGCTTATGCACGCGAGTGTTGTTTGCATTCGGTCAAAACAAACCTTTCATGGCACTTTCTTGAGTTTAAAACACAGCACAGGTCATTTCCACTTGGGTGATTTTGGATTTTTTGTGAAATAAAACACGTATTTGCCTGCCAAAGACAAGGGAGGCACTGGGGTCAGCGTGAGATCTGTCTCAGCCATGCGGGTCCAGCCCAACCAGCTCATGACCTCTGTGCTCCCCCCACCTCATGGGCACCCCCAGCCCTCCCCCCAGCCCATGGACACCCCAGCCCTTCCCCCATGGACCCCTCCCCCCCCATGGACTCCCTAACCCTCCCCCATGGGGAGTCAATAATGAAGCATCATCAGTCTGGTGACTTAAACCAGCAAAAATGTATGCTCTTGTTCTGGATGCTAAAAGTTCAAAGTCAAGGGATCACTAGGGCTGGTTCCTTCTCAAGCTGCAAGGGAGACTGATCTAGGCCTCTCTTGGCTTCTGGCGTTGCTGGCAGTTATTGGTGCTCCTTGGCTTGTAAAACATCACCCCCATCTCTGTCTCCATCTTCACCTGGTTTTCTCCCCTTGCGTCTCTGTCTTTACATGGCATTTTCTTCTTTTCCTAAGGACACCAGTCACCTTGGATTTGTTGTTGTTGCTGAGTCGCTAAGTTGTGTCTGACTCTTTGTGACCCCATGGACTGTAGCACACCAGGCTTCCCTGTTCTTCACTTTCTCCTGGAGTTTGCTCAGACTCATATCCATTGAATCAGTGATGCCATTCAACCATCTCATCCTCTGCCACCTCCCTCTCCTTTTGTCTTCAATCTTTCCCAGCATCAGGGTCTTTTCCAATGAAATCAGCTCTTCACATCAAGTGGTCAAAGTATTGGAGCTTCAACATCAGCCTTTCCAATGAATATTCAAGGTTGATTTCCTTTAGGACGGACTGGTTTAAGCTCCATGCAGTCCAACGGACTCTCAAGAGTCTTCTCCACCCTAATGACCTCCTCTGAACTTGATTACACCTATTTCCAATTAAGGTCATATTCATAGGTGCGGGGGTGGGGGTTAGGACTTGATCTTATTTGGGGATCCAGCTTTTAACACCCACCCATTTCTGAGCACCCCTCTTTCCAGACACTCTTCTCTGGAAGAATCTCAGCCCATCCCTGACCCCTCCTGTAAGCCCTTGTGATACCACACCAGAGCCCCATGACCAAGGTGAGACTTGGAGGAGGGAGTAAGAGGGGTCTGGTTTAAATATTAGTTGGTCCAAAAAACAGGTCAATTGCCACAGCGTGTTTTTCAGCCTTACTCAAAATAACTGCATGTCAAAATGGAAGCATCAGAGTGACCCCCTCAGAGGGTCCCCTCACTCTGCGTGTGGGAGCTTGGTCCAGAGGAAGGTGTAGGGTCAGGGGGTTGGGGGTGGGCCCTGTAGGTGGGGGCTCTATAACGAGGTCCCCGGGTCCCCTTCCGGCGCATGAACTACCCGTGGAGGTGTCTGGAAGTTTCTGCCCTTGGGTAGAAGGTCTCCTGATGACTTCTAAGAATTTCAATCACTTGACGTTTAAAGGAGGAAGAATGGAGAGTTTCAGAAATGGAGTTGGTAGATGCCCAAACGTCCCTCCGCTGTCAGCTTTGCCCAGAAGGCATATTTTGCACTCAGAATCCCTGCTCTGTTGGCACCACCACACACCGCAAGCTAACCACGGTCCAGCTTTCACTACAGCTTTCTCCCTCTCCTCACCACGTCACGGTGCACAGGGCCGACACAGAGGTGAAGTCCCTCTGGGGGTGTGTGGGCTTGTGGGCGGCCAGGCTCAGACGGGCCGGGTTCCCTGAAGGTCGGGTCACACCTCAGGCCTCAGGAATCCATCGTGACAGGGACATTGGAACTGGTGACACGCTGTCACTCGTTTGCTCCAGCTCAGTGAGGGCGGGGGCCATCGAGGCAGCCGGATAAGAAATCGGGGGCAGAGGCCCCTAAACTTTCTTGCTGCCGCCCTTTGGAAGACCTCTGTGGCAATTTCCCCAATCTTTATGAACTTCTTGCTGTTCTTTTTTGGTTTTAATATTTTAGATTTCCGCCCCTTTTGTTTCCCCTTTATTTATTTGTTTGGGTGTACTGGGTCTTGGTCATGCGGGATCTTCAGTTGCAGCACACGGGCTCCCTAGTTGTGTCGTGAGAGCTTAGTTGTCCCATGGCCTGTGGGATGTTAGTTCCCCAACCAGGGACTGAACCTGAGTCCCTTGCATTGCAAGGAGGATTCTTAACCACTGGACCACCAGGAAAGTCCTGCTTACTCACTATTGATGCTGTGATAGACGTTCTCTTAGCAGACCTCACTTAGCCATCTCAGGAGCTCTGTGGGTCTGAGGGTCACGGACCGCACACCGCCTGCTTGTGGCCGGTGGCTTCTGCCCAGCTCCTGGTCTTCTGTGACCACAAGTGGGGCTCTGGGCTCCCCAAGACACAGCTGTGTTTGTTCCCAAATCTTCTCATATCAGTTGTTATCAAAGTTAAATCATTATTACATAAACCAATAAAGATTAAAGGCAAAAAGAGAGAGCTGTTGTTCTAAGAACTAAGTTAAATGCTTTGGGAAATTTGGTGAAGGTGAATTGCTTACAAAACTGTCACAAACTGTTACAAATGCTGTCACAATAGGTGTGAGTGTAACACTTATAGGTCATTTGGAAAAACGTAGAAACCCAAGATGACACACAATCTGATTGCTCTGCTGAGCTCTGGGACTAACTTCAATTAAAAAAAAAATCCAAACTGGAACTCATAAGCAATGCAAAGTGGGTATTGATTATGCAAGACACACATTTCTGTTCAGCACAACTACAATTTTTAAAAAGGCCTTAGTGACAATAACACCATTGACATGTTTTAACTTAAAATATTTAATATATGGGCTTCTGTTTGTGTGTGTGTATATATATATTTTATAGGCATATATATGTGTGCTAAGGTGCTTCAGTCATGTCTGACTCTGTGACCCAGTGGACTATAGCCCACCAGGTTCCTCTGTCCATGAAATTCTGTAGGCAAGAATACTGGAGTGGGTTGCCATGCTCTCCTCCAAGGGATCTTCCCGATGTTGAACCTCTTACATCTCCTGCGATGGCAGGTGGGTTCTTTACCGCTAGAGCCACCCAATAAGCCTGATGAATCCACTCTAAGTTCAAAGTATAAGTTGAAATGCATTAATACACATAACCTACCAAACATCACAGTTTAGCCCAGCCTACCTTAAATGTGCTCAGAACACAACACTAGCTTACATCTGGGCAGGATCATCTAACACAAAGCCTATTTTTTAAAGAAGTGTAGAGTATCTCATGTAATTTATTGAATTCTGAGCTGACAGTGCAAAACAAAATGGCTGTCTGGGTGCAGAATGTTTGTTGACCCTTGTGATATGGCTGATGGGGGTCTGCCTGCCTGCCATTCCCAGCATTACAAAAGAGGACCGGACTGAAAAGAACCTCAGGAACCCAGGAAAAGATCAAAATCCAAAATTCTAAGTACAGTTTCCACTGAATGGGTATCACTGTAACACCATCATAAAGTCAAAAAATTATAAACCACACCATTGTTAAATCAAGGTCCATCTGTGTGTGTGTTCTGCAGTTTATCCAACTTTTAAAAAAAATTTATTATTCATTTAATGGAGAAAGAAATGGTATCCTACTCCAGTATTCTCGCCTGGAAAATTCCATGGACAGGGGAGCCTGGCGGGCTACAGTCCATGGGGTCACAAGGAGTCAGACATGACTGAGCATGCACGCATGCATGCATTTATTTAACATTTTAGCTCTCGCACTAGATTTTTACAAGCTGGTGAACACTGATAACATTATTTCTCCCACAGAACTATAACCAAATGTTCCTGGACAATATATATATATATGGTTGAGCTAATGTCAATACATATCACCATTTTTATTTTTTCTGTATCAATAAATGTATTCCAAGTAAGAATTGTGCATTCACACCAGGCATATTATTTCCCCACAAAAGCCAGTATCATCATTAAAATATTTAACACTAAATAAACCATAAAACTCACAGGTATGTGAAAAACTTCTCAAGGTATCTATTTCAAGTCATTAAGTTCTTTAATATTTGTAATCCATGCATAAACATATCACTCATAATTATTGATATGCTTACTATATATATTTAAAGCATCTTTTGGGAAATTTTATGCTCTCTAAATAATAACTTCTTAGTAGCTTAAAAATACCTCTATGAACCTCTTAGCAGTACTATTGTAAACCAAAATTGTATTTTCAAGTAGTAAGGATCCAAGACACACCATTCCTGATTAAAGACAGAGCTGACATCCAGTTTTACAAATAGCTCTTGTCCATTCCTTGTCCCTATTTTTATTTTTTCCCCTTGTCCCTATTTTAATATGCCAACCATTACTTCACTGATATCCCAAAGTTTTCTTGCAACAGATTCATCCATAGCTTTGGGCAACAGTTCTTCCTCTTTACAGTCCCCAAAGTACCTCCCTGAAACACCTTCTACCTCAGGTGAAGAGGCTAAATAAATTGAAATCTGGGCCCCCTCTTCTGGAGTTTTGAAGAAAGCCCACGACACTAAATTGAAAAGTGGTCTGACCAACAGTGGGATGTGTACGTGCCTCCCGAGGTTAGTCCGCACTATGCCAGGGTATAACACATTCACGGTCACGTTGGTGCCTTCTAAGCGGCGGGCTAGTTCTCTGGTAAAAAGAATGTTAGCCAGCTTGCTCCGACTGTAACAGAAGCTTTTATTATAGCTCTGTTCACTGTTCAAGTCTTCAAAGTTGATGTCTCCGTATTTTTAAAGTTTAGAGGAAACAACCACAATTCGGCTGAGAGCTGAACTTTTGAGGATTCCAAGGAGAAGGTTGGTGAGTAGGAAGTGTCCCAGATGGTTCACACCGAACTGCATCTCAAATCCATCTTCAGTCTTCATATAAGGGCACTGGAAGATCCGGCGTTATTGATCAAAACATCCAGTCTAGGCTCTTCCTGGAGCATCTCTTGACAGAAGGAGCGCACGGAGCTCAGAGAGGCGAGGTCCAGCTCTTTGACGACGAGCTCGCCGGCCCCGCCGGAGTTGGGCCCCGAGTCGGGGCCTCCAGCCGGGCAGACCTCACGGCGGAGTGACCCGCCGCCTCCTCGGCGCGCTCGCGGTCCCGGCAGCCCATGATCACTCGACCCCCCAGGCGCAACAGCTCGGCCGCGGTGGCGCGGCCCAGGCCACTGTTCACCCCCGTGATCAGCACGGTCTTCCCGCGCATGAGGCCGGAGTCCCCGCCTTGGTGCAGTCGCTGGACGTTGGACCCCATAAACCGCCGGGCGGCTAGCCACAGGACCCCACCTAGTGCGGCCAGTATTGCTGCCGCGGTATCCACTGCCATAGCCGCCGGGGCCGAGGGCCCGCCGGCCCCTGCGCAGCCGTATCACCATTTTATAAATTAGATAAAGAAACAAATTGTCAAGTATCCAAATATTAAGTTACACAGCTCAAAGGCTTCAGTTCAGTTCAGTTCAGTCACTCAGTCATGTCCGACTCTTTTCGACTCCATGGACGGCAGCATACCAGGCCTCCCTGTCCATCACCAACTCCCGGAGCTTGCTCAAACTCACGTCCATCGAGTCGGTGATGCCATTCAACCATCTCATCCTCTGTCGTCCCCTTCTCCTCCTGCCTTCAATCTTTTCCAGCATCAGGGTTTTTTCCAATGGGTCAGTTCTTTGCATCAGGTGGCCAACATATTGGAGTTTCAGCTTCAGCATCACTCCTTCCAGTGAATATTCAGGACTAATTTCCTTTAGGATGGACTGGTTTGATCTCCTTGCTGTCCAAGGGACTCTCAAGAGTCTTCTCCAACACCACAGTTCAAAAGCATCAATTCTTTGGCTTTCTTTAATAGTCCAACTCTCACATCCATACATGACTACTGGAAAAACCATAGCTTTGACTAGATGGACCTTTGTTGGCAAAGTAATGTCTCTGCTTTTTAATATGCTATCTAGGTTAGTCATGGATTTTCTTCCAAGGAGCAAGCGTCTTTTAATTTCATGGCTGCAGTCACGATCTGCAGTGATTTTGGAGCCCAAGAAAAAAAAGTCTCTATTTCCATTGTTTCCCCATCTATTTGCCAAAAAGTGATGGGACTGGATGCCAAGGTCTTAGTTTTCTGAATGTTGAGTTTTAAGCCAGCTTTTTCACTCTTCTCTTTCACTTTCATCAAGAGGCTTTTTAGTTCTTCTTCACTTTCTGCTATAAGGGTGGTGTCATCTGCATATCTGAGGTTATCGATATTTCTCCTGGCAGTCTTGATTCCAGCTTGTGCTTCATCCAGCCCAGCGCTTCTCATGATGTACTCTGCATATAAGTTAAATAAGCAGGGTGACAATATACAGCCTTGATGTACTCCTTTCCCGATTTGGAACCAGTCTGTTGTTCCATGTCCTGTTCTAACTGTTGCTTCTTGACCTTCATACAGATTTCTCAGGAGATTTGATTCTTGACCTGCATATCAGATCTCTCATATGCCTATGTCAAAAGGCATATAAAATGTTAAATGTCTGCTCGATTCATTAGCAGAAATCTACTTTTTATTTTTGCGAGAGAGTTTGGGAATCATACTTCAAAAAAAAATAAGTTGTAGTTTACACAACTTTTTAATGTTAATTGACTGAACGCCGTTTCTCAGTCTAGGACAAGAGGGCTTCTGGCAGGTGGCATTTGTACTAAAAATCGTGGTGAAATATTGACTCATTTGTTGTTGTTCAGTCGCTAAGTTGTGTCTCTTTGCGACCCCATGGACTGCAGCATACCAGGTTTCCCTGTCTTTCACTATCTCCTGGAGTTTGTTTAAACTCATATCCATTGAGTCAATGATTCCATCCAAACTTCTCATCCTGTTATCCCCTTCTCCTCCTACCTTCTATCTTCCCTAGCATCAGGGTCTTTTCCAGTGAGTCAGCTCTTTGCATCAGGTGGCCAAACTATTGGAGCTTCAGCATCAGACCTTCCAATGAATATTCAGGACTGATTTCCTTTAGGTTTGACTGGTTTTATCTCCTTGCAGTCCAAGGGGCTCTCAAGAGTCTTTTCCAGCACCATGGTTCAAAAGCTTTCATAAGAAATATATATTTGGTCACTCAGATGACCAGAATCCTTTCTCATATATATTTGGTCTTCATCTACAATTCCTGGCTCCCAGCTCCTAAAACCTTGTAATTCCCTAAGTGCAGAGAATCATGTAGGTGTGTTTTATTATGTGAACAAGGTGATTTTTGGAAGCACCTAAGGATGGGGCTGATCTCTGGGAGAACTAACCATCTGATAAGGGTTGGAACTTGGAACTTTCTGTCCCACCCCTCTGTCCTCCAGGGAGGGAAGCAGGGCTGGAGGTGAAGCATGCTTCCCCCTTTAAACCAGTCCTTAAGTCACCAGCAGTTATCGATGTCATTTATCTCTGTGCAGATTTGAACTGGACAGAACCCAGCCTGCCGAGGGGTTTGAAAAGATCTCTTCCCCTGGTGGCTTGATGCATAGGAAAGACTAGGGTCAAGCACAGGCTACTGAAGTAAGGGTACTAGGCTGAGCAATGTTTAGACACAGTGCAGTACTTCTGAGGAAACTCACCGAACTCAAGGGCTCAATTCAGAGTCAGGGGTTACAAAGGCTCTGGGCACTGGCCCCACAGGAACCTAGGGCTCCTGGTTAAGGATGCCCAGAAACATCAAGTCCAGCCTGCTGTTTAGGCTCTACCTGGCCACCTGGAAAAATGGAGACTTGTCCTTAATAACAGTTTAACCTCAGGGGAGACGCTGTATTGCCACCAATGCTCCTGGAAGTCTCGGGGTCAACATCCTGACCTTGAATGTTGGGCCTGTTGGGAGAGCAGCTGTGGTTTCTCAGGAGTCTGGGGTAGGGTAGCTGGGAGCAGCCTGGGGAGAGCTGGGTGGCTTTGGGCACAGTTAGTGGTTTGGGAAGAGAATTCTGGCCCCACAGGAGGAATCCTGGCCCCACGCAGAAAGAGAGGGTTTCCCTGCCCCTTCTCCTGCAGAGAGCAGGGCGGCCGGCACACAGGGAGTAGGCGGGCCCTGTGATGTGGTTGGAGCTGGAGAGACTGGGGCAGGAGGCAGACAGTCAGGATGGCCCCCAGGGGAAAGGCTGGAGGTGGAACACATGAGATTTTCTGTCTCTGCTCCCACTGACCCTGCAGGTTGCATGGGGGCTGGAATATCCCAGCTGGAGGCCAGGTCTGGAGCAGCCAGAGCGGGAGATACTGACCATGGGGAGGGGTGATGTGATTCCAAAAAAAACCGTTTTGAATCCAAAACTCAGTCTAAGCTTAGGAGTTGGGACTTTGAAGGCAGGTTTTCCTTTATTTGGGAAGGGGCGGGGGGGTTCACTATAGACAACTTTTTCCTTCTCTTGCTGCTAAGTCCCTTCAGTTGTGTCCAACCTCTGTGCGACCCCATAGACGGCAACCCACCAGGCTCCTCTGTCCCTGGGATTCTCCAGACAAGAATACTGGAGTGGGTTGCCATTTCCTTCTCCAATGCATGCACACACTCTAAGTCGCTTCAGTTGTGTCCGACTCTGTGTGACCCCATGGACAGCAGCCCACCAGGCTCCTCTGTCCACAGAATTCTCTAGGCAAGAGTACTGGAGTGGGTTGCCATTTCCTTCTCCTTCCTTCTCTTACAATCTCTTAATTAAATTTCACTTGAAATTTAGGCCCAATCTGTTGCCTTTTGCACAAAATCCAGAGCCTATGTGATCTTTTCTAGACCTTGGCAATCCAATCCAGTATTCTTGCCTGGTAAATCCCATGGACAGAGGAGTCTGGAAGGCTATGGTCCATGGGGTTACAAAGAGTTGGACAGGACTTAGCAAGTAAACAAAGGAAACCAAGCCAAATGGCTCCCTGACGCACCCCTCTGGCATGCATCCCCATGTGTGACTGCAAGAGGGGTCCTTGAGGGGTGCCATCAGCCTGAGACTTCGAGGTGTCTTGATAAGAGGCACAGGTGTCTTCAGGAACTCACACTCTGGCAGCAGGCACTATCTGCGACAAACTGCTGGAAGCAAAAGCAGGTCAGGGGTGGGAACTGCAGTCACGCGCAGAAACTCGTCTGGAAGTAAAGTCAGATGTGGAAGGGTGTGTGTGGGGACAGGAATGTCCTAGAGGGTTGGTAATGGGTGAAGGGGGACAATGGCCTGGAAGCTGCAGGAAAAGGATGCAAAATAGAGGGTCACCAGTGGGAAGCTGAGACCTTGGCAGCTGCAGGGAACTGGAAAAGAGGCCGAAAGAAGCTGTTACTGAGTCCCCGGCCAGTGAATCCCAGAGATGAGGTGTTGAGGCAAGGAATACAACTTTATTCAGCGAGCCTGCTGACCAAGAAGATGAACACTAATGTCTCAAAATAACTGTCCTGTCGGGGTCTGTATGCCAGGTTCTTTTATGAATCAGAGATCCGGGTGGCAGGGGTAAGGGAAAGGAGGTGAGGAAACAAAATGAAAAGGCCATTTAATCTCGAAGATGTCTCCTAGAATGGTAAGCCTCAGCCAGGGGAATGTGTTCATTTCTTCCTTCCTCCCAGGCAGACAGGGTCCTGAACAAAGGCACTTTAACAGCCAGGCAGAGGGGCAGGGTTCTCTGAGGCAGGCCATTATATATAGGAGTATAGTAACAAAAAGCAATGAAAACCAGCTGAAGAAACAGCTCCAGCATGGAGTCAGAATTGACTTCTCCTTGCAACAAAGCCAGGATAAGCCTGAACAGTCACCACCCTCACGGACTTCAGTTTCTGGTGAAGGACTGAAGCAGAGGGTGGCTGAGGCTCCATTTAGCTGGCCAAGGCTCTCTCATTGAGGAGGGAATCCTGACAAGAAAGCAAACAAGAGCCTGGGGGCGGTGAATCCTTTTTAAAATTCAGGCCTCACCTTGGGATCCCTCCCCATCCTCTGGGAGGGAAGCGGTGGAAAGTCTTGAGTGAGAAATTTGCCTCTGGTTTGGTTTTACTCCACTAGGCGCTGTCTGGAAGGGAGGAGGAACTCAGGACATGGTGTGTTTTTGGACACGGTTGCTCCTCTCCTGTGACCGGTTTGCACTGGAAGCCCAGAGGGTGGGTTTAGATTTGCCGTGGAGGTGACACACGAATCCACCTTCTCAGGCTCTCTGGTCGAGCCGTGCCAGTGACCGCCGTCGAGGACGTCCCTCCACTGTTGACTGTCCCTGCAACTTGAGAAGTGGACACTCAGATTGAGTTGTGGCCTCTCCTTGGGACCAGCTAGGCTCCCAGAGTCACCTCAGTCCCCATTCCGAGCAGCCTGATGGCCCTGGCAAGCCTCAGGATGGGGTTTCACAGGGGCCAGTCCTATTCACAGGCACCAAAGAGCTCCTCTCACTTCAAATAAAGGACCCAAATCTTCTGCAGAAAGATAAGCAGTCTGGTTAAAAAAAAAAAAAAATTTTTTTTTGGGTGGTAAAGAATAGCACAGCCTAGAACAAAGTTTTATTTAGGTTAATTCTAATTAAAAAAAAACACCAAAAAGTAAAACACATTAAAAACTTTATTGTTAAGTACCACACATGTCTAAATTTGCATCAGTCTGAAACACTTCTGCTGGCTTTGCAGAACACAATAGTTGCAGGTTTCTTTTAAATCTTAACTGTCGCCTGCTCCAGGTCTTTCCAGGCTCGTCTGCTCCGGCCTCCCCCTCCTCTTCGCGGTGGGGTCAGTCTACTCTGCCCCACGCTGACATCAGGTCACCCTGGGCCAGTGGGAGTCTGCTTCTAGAGGGGCTGGCCCTGCAGATAGCGCGGCCTGTACTCTTCGAGGAAGCCCTCTCTTCTTGTTTTCTCTTTGTCCCATTTTTACTCCCAGCCCAAGTGGCTAACTGGGTATATTCTAAGCAAAATTCATCCCAGTGAAGTTTCATGGAGTCTTCCAGAACCATGGAGTCTTCCAGAACCGTAAGCCGGTATCTGATTACTCCCATTTTTTTTTTTTTTTAATGGAAGTGGGGAGTAGCTGGGACAAATCCCCTGGACTTGAGCGGGCTGGAACGGGTGGAGGCGGGTTTAAGTCCCCTCTCCTTCCCTCGTTGGCGGGCCTGGCCAGCTCTGCAGGTGGGGACACTCCTCTCGTTCCGGGGGAGTGAGGACCCTGAATAGCCACTGGAGTTTGAAAGCAAATTTGACAGGGGAAAATAAAAAAAGCAATGAAAAAAAGTCCATAAATAGAATCTGACAGGTGCTGTCTGAATAACAGCCCCCTTTCTGGCACGAATGATCTGATATAATGTAGGAAGATATATTACAGTAGAAAGAAGATTACAGCAGCAGTAATTTCCCATCTGCAGCACTATTCCCCTGCTTCCTGAAGTCTGCAATTTGAGTGCATTTTAAACACATCAGGAATGAGTGATGATTCTCCAAACCAAGGAAAATACTCCATAAAAAAATAAAGATAGAAAAGGCATGCTATTTTAATGGCAAACTTATTTTGGATACTTAATGGTAACCGATCTTGAAATTAAGGGAGGGAGCAGTAGGGACCCCCCTGTGCCCAGGAGGACAGTGGGGACTGGCGCCAGCCAGCCTGGGGTCCTGGGCTGAGCCGGGAGCGGGGGCAGTGTCCGCCGAGGCCAGAAGCCCGCCAGTCCCTGTGTCGTCAGCCGGGACCCTCAGTGCTGCAGCAGGAAGTGGGTGGCCACGTTAAGGTCGTTATTGGAAGCTCTCAGGGCTTCCAAAGCGTCGCCCCTCGAAAATCCCATCTCCATGAGTCGGGCGACCTGAAAACAGAAACAAAACCGGAAGTCTGATGAGGAGGCTGACCACACTGCCACCAATCCACCAGCCCCACAATGTTCCTCATGCGAGTTTTAATGCTCCTCGGGTGAGCTTTTCAGGTTCAAAGCTAAAATAAAATAAAATAAACCACACTTTCATTTCGGTGTGAAAGCTGATGTTTATGAAATGACAACGGACACGTTTTCAGGTGCTCACTATATGCAGTCCACAGACGTGCATTTTCTCATTGAATCCTCATTTTCAGGACAAGGAAGGGGCTCCTGAGGAACCTGCCAGGACGAGCAGAGGCTGGCTGCGCTGTGGGCCTGGGCCTTGGGGGCAGGTCCTACCAGCAGCCCCACGCACACGCCTTCAGGGTCAAATCGGTTCCCAAAGAATAACTGATCCGAGCCTCATTTCCCCAGGCAGGCAAACAGCTGCTTAACTGAGGATTTATTCCTGATGCTGGCGGACTCAGACAGTACACATGCCTTGGAGCTCCCGGCGAGGCTCAGGCAGAAGGGGCGAGGTCCAGGCACAACCTTGTGGAGGAGGCGGCGAGAGCCATCCAGGATAGGGAGGACGAATGCTTGCGTGTTTTTTAACCACAAATCCTGAAGCTGTGAATGCAGAGATTTCCTGTGCTTTTACATACAGGCGTTCTCCAAGGTTGAAACCGCAGGGTTATTGGTTTATTCCCTGTGACCTGTTTTCCCACTTGAAAATGTATTACAGAAACATTTAGGACCCTGGACTAGCCGCAGACTTTTTTTTTTTTAACTTATTTGGAAATAAACTACATTTGCAAAAATATATATTGAAAAGTGATACTCTTCCAAATGTTGAGATTTTCAACAAGGTGTAAGTTGACGAGGGACTGGGGATTTAGTCACCACTTCTAACCTCCTTTTCACAGAATGTGACGCCCGGGGGGCGCGCAGGGGTCAGAGCCCTGCCACCCCTCTTCCCACGAGGAGGAGGGTGTGGGCGGGGCGAGTGGGCAGGGCGGGGTGAGTGGGGAAGGAGGTGCAGAGCTGAGTGGGCCAGAACCATTGAGATCCCAGGTTCCTGGGCGCTCAAGGAACCTTTTGTTGTTCAGTCACTAAGTTGTGACCCCATGGGCTGCATGCAGCACGTCTGGTTCTTCTGTCCTCCACTCTCTCCTAAAGTTTGCTCAAACTCATGTCCATCGAGTCAGTGATGACATCCAACCATCTCATCCTCTGCCACTCCCTTCTCCTTTTGCCTTCAATTTTTCCTGGCATCAGGGTCTTTTCCAATGAAGTCAGCTCTTCAAATCAGGTGGCCAAAGTATTGGAGCTTCAGCATCAATCCTTCCAATGAATATTCAGGGTTGATTTCCTGTAGGATTGTCTGGTTGGATCTCCTTGCTGTCCAAGGGACTCTCAAAAGTCTTCTCCAGCACCATAATGCAAAAGCATCAATTCTTCAGCGCTCAGCCTTCTTTATAGTCCAACTCTCACATCTGAACATGACTACTGGAAAAACCACAGCTTTGACTAGAGGGACCTTTGTCGGTAAAGTGATGTCTCTGCTTTTTAATACACTGTCTAGGTTTGTCATGGCTTTCCTTCCAAGGAGCGAGCATCGTTCATGGCTTCAGTCACCGTCAACAGTGATTGTGGATCCAAGAAAAGAAAATCTGTCACTGCTTCCACTTTTCCCCCTTCTATTTGCCATGAAGTGATGGGACTGGCTGCCATCTTAGTCTTTAAATGCTGAGTTTTAAGCCAGCTTTCTCACTCTCCTCTTTCACCCTCATCAAGAGGCTTGGGAAGAGGTTAACCCAGCTGGGAGGAAATAGCACACTTTTCAGAAGCTGGGGCTCTGGCTGGTGTTTTTCAAACTGAGGCTGGGATCCCTCATCAGTGGGATAAGACCAAGATTAAAAACAAAGCGGACAGTGAGGGTCTTCCCTCCGAGGAACCTCATTCTGGTTCCCCACCCTCCACACACGCCCCCGAAGGGTCGACCTTGGGGAGGAGGCTGGTGGCCCATTTCCAGCTCAACCTTCCGGGCTGAGGCACTGATGGCTGGTGTGGGCAGAGGCGGGGGTCTCCGCTTCCATCTCCCCTCGGGGAGGAACAGCCGTTTCTGGAGTCTCAGGAATACTCCACATCTCGCTGGCTGGGACAGAAGGCTGTTCCTCAAGGGGGCCGATCTGGGTCTCACTACTTGCCACCCATGGGGCTTCCAAGGCCTTGATCTGCTTTTGAAGACACAGGAAATGCCCTGTTTCCTTCTCTGCGTGAGGCCTCCAGTGTCCTCCTCTCCTGCTTCTGGTCCCTCCTGGCCGTGTGGCTCTGTGTCTCCCACCTGGTTAACTCGTCTTTGTCCCAACGGTCTCAGGGCCCATGGCCTTTCCCGAGTCCCTCAGCCGAGGACGAACCCAGAATGGGCGCCTCGTGCTCCTCCCGGCTGGGACTGGGTGGGTGGTTCCTCCTTATCCCGGTCAGGGCCCAGCAGCCTCTGCCCATCCCCACGTCTCAGGGCCCAGCAGCCTTTGCCCATCCCCACGTCTCAGGGCCCAGCAGCCTCTGCCCATCCCCACGTCTCAGGGCCCAGCACTGTCTGGCCTGCCTCTGCCCCCCAACGCTTGCCGGTTTGTACGGCTGCAGGATATGGTGTTGCTGGCATGGTGTGCCCAGGGCAGAGTGCACCTTCCTGTGATTCCCAGCCTTGTCTCAATGGGCGTGCACATGTGTGAGAGTGCACACATGCCCTGAGTGTGTAATGACAGCATCCTGGGGCGGCGAGTGATGCTGGGCCTACGATAAACTGAGCGAAATGTGCTCAAGCTAGGCCTCTGGGCTCTGGGTGAGTTTAATCCACTCGTCCAGATTTAGGACTGGGCGCTATCAAACTTCTGATCACTGTCTAGTAACCGAAACTGCCCTCAGCTTAAATTCTGTCCTCGATGGTGTTAGTCAGCTCCCTCAAGTGGGTATCATCCCCATCTGATTAGCAAATGAACAAGCCACTCAAGGTAAACACCAAGCAGACAAGATCAGAGGCGAGAGCCCAGAACTCACCAGAGCCCGCCCCTTTCTACCCAGGTGGCTTAGTCAACAGTCTTTTTGCATTTTCACCAGTTTCAGACTCGGTGTTATTATCCATTGTGATGTCATCAACATCCCTCTCGAGGGGACACATATCTTGGTGGCATCCTGTGTCAACAGGAGCCATGTGGGGCCTTCGGACCACAAGGTCCTTTTCCTCCACGCGTGTCTGCTCCATCATCTGTTGCAGGCTCCTGCCAGACGTGACACGCCCATTCTCAGGATCCACACTTTTCCCTTTTCCTTGGGGGGCCTTTCACACTGAGTGTCACTAGGGAGAGAGGCCCCAGGACTCGTGCTGGACGTGTGGTCAACAGGGCACAGTCACCTCGCGGGTCCAGGTACGCCTGGCCGGGCTATATCCACTCCTGGATCAACATAACCTTTCATGATGTTTATTGCCGTGACTTCCGGTTAAGGACCACGATCTTTAGTGGAGCAAACGTGGCCCAGTGAGGGGGTGGGCAGCTCCCTCCCCGCTGTGTCTCTTACCCATGGACACACACCATGGTGCTGACAATTTTTTTGCTGTTCTCAACGACGGAGAACAAACACGTGGCAAACGCCACATTCGCTGTCACCTCTAGGACTTAAGGCCTGGGAGCTTCTTCGCATCCAGTGACAGGAGCAAATCCACCTGTTCGGCAAATCACGATCCATAACCTGGAGCAGGCGAGGCGAGAGCCTCGCCTGGCACTGGCACGGGGCGGGGGGCGCTGGCCGCAGCTTCCACCTGCTGGAGTTTCCTGTCCACCGACTCTGAATCTGGTTTGGAATCGAGGAGATGCTGAGCACAGGCCGCCCTCCACACACAGCAGAGCGCACGTGGCATTGCGGCTGGAGGGAAAGCGGCTGGGGTCTGGGGTGGGCGGGCTGCGTCCGAGGTGGTGAAGTCCTGGTGAGGAAAGACACATTCCCTGCATGCCAGGCTGCCTCCAAGGTCGTTCTCTCCCAGACACCATCGACCACGTGTGCTGTCACCGGTTTTGACAGCCGAGCTGGGTTTTTCGCAGGTCTCCACGGTTGGCTGGCCATCACAGCCCCTTGCCTAAAGCTGGCTCTGGGGTCTTTCGGATTTCTTGGGGGGTGAGGAGACGAGTCTGATTAGAGAATCTGCACTGCCGAATGACCTGGTACTCTGACCAGATAAGAAAGCTCACAAAGTAGAAATCGGATTAGCAGGATTTAAAAATTGAACAACATGAGGAGAGGGTACTTGTGGGATTCCTTTACTTTCCCAAACTACAAACACCTACAGAAAATGAACTGGCAAGCTCGGGTGGGTACGAGGAAAATAACCAGAGGACCAGGAGGACACTGAGGCGTTCCCATGGGGTCCCCGTCACCCCGCAGCAGACAGTGCCAGCTGGGGCGCCCACGGCCAGGTAGGAGCCTGTGCCTCCTGGTGCTGCCCCTCCTCGGGGGCCCAGGTCTCACGGCCAGGACGGTGAAGCTGCAGCTGACGGCGCAGCCCTGGGGTGGACGCTGAGAGGCATCGTCATGGTCCTGTGTGTTAACCAGCGCCCGACTTGCACAAACCTCGAGCGTTTCGCAACCGTCTGGGTGTGAAGGCTGACTTAGCCCGTGACGCAGGGACTCCTGTGCTCAGCAGTGGCAAGAGAAGACCGAGGCCATGCAGGCCTGTGGTCGGGTGAGCGAGACTCGGGCAGGACTCTCTAGAGGCTCACGATTCCTCAAAGTAAAACCACAGGGGAGCCGGCAGCTGTGAGAGAGGTGCCCCGGCCCCGGAGGGGGAGGCGGGGACCCCTCCGGGTGGCAGAGGGGCTCCCCAGAGTCACTGTGCGACCCCAGGCCAGGAACCAGGGCGTCGGGCTCCCAGCTTCTCACAGCTTTGGGGGTCAGAAAGACGGGTGCGAAAGGCCTGGGACAGTGACCGGCATCTGGCAGGCGCTCAGGAACTC